GCATTCAGTGCAGGCCTGGCACAGAGCAACCACACCATATAGTCTCGAAAATGTTATTTTCAGAGCAATTAATTCGACTCAAACAATTATGGGGTGGCTACCCTATGCCAGGCACTCTGCCAGATAGAAGGCCCATCTTGCCTTCAAAGTGTGGAAAAGAGAATGAATAGCTATAATGCAGCAGTGAGTAAGAAAGTGTAAACAAATCACTAAAATATAACCCAAAATAGGGATCTTGGAGGAGGTAGCCGTTTATTGTTTTTGAGGAGTCAGGGAAGATGATTTAGGAGCTAGATCTGTGTGAACAGAACTTTGGCAGATAAAAGGAAGGAGGGGATAAAAAGGAGGCTCCATTATAGGGAAAGTAAAAATGATATATGTCCTGGAGGGGAAAGAGTGTTTAGGAAAATTGCAAAAGGTCTGATGTATTTGACATGGAGTCACCCTGGAAAGGTAACGAGCAGACGGACACTTACAACCTGGCTACAGAATGTGGAACTTCAGGCGTTAAGGGGGCACGGGAGCAGGTGTGTGTGGGGTTTGTTTTTGGGGTTTTTTTGGTGGTGGTGGTGGGATAATTAGGTTTGTTTATTTAATAGAGGTACTGGGGACTGAACCCAGGACCTCGTGCATGCTAAGCACACGCTCTATCACTGAGTATACCCTCCCCCTAGGTGTGTGTTTTAGACCCGCCGTGTAGAAACCAGTCTGGAGGAGGCCAGGCCCGGGAGGGAGACCTCCAAGGAGGCCTATGTTCCTTTTATATTAATGCACCTGTATTCACCAGGCCCCTTCGCGCCCAGCAGTTCTAAAGGAATGGGGATAGAAACGAACTAGAAAAGCAAAAGGCCCCTGCCCTCACCAGGGTTTGCAGTCTGGGGGGAAGAGACAGACAGAGAAGCAAACACAAGGGTGAGGCGTGCAGGGAAGAAAGCAAGACGGCTGTGCGACACACAGAGGGCTTCTTTATTTTTACTGTGTGTATATCTCCCACATAATTTATTTTATTTTGAATATTTATAATTTCAAAGAGCACTGCTTAAGGGCTTCTTGAAAGCGGAGTCGGGGATCAGAGCCCTGAGGAACCTTGAGATGTGTTCAGCATCTGACGTGTACGCAGTTTTCCGGAAAGACACTCCGAGGAGTGCAGGACTCCTTTCCCCCAAATGTTAAGAACCAGTGCACTTAGATGCTTAATGGAACACTGTGGGGGTTGAATCCAGAGCGGGGTGTTGTACCAACAGGGTGCAGTGGTAGCACCGGCAGAGGGGCCCATTTCTTCCTCAAATGTCCGTGTTTGGTTTGGTAACCTAATCTGGCCTAATCCGGACCTGACTGGAGGTGGGCTTGCGCTCAGCGGGGACACCTTCCCTCTACGGAACTTAATCAGTTATGTAGACACTGCGGGTCAGAAGCGCGGACAAACTTCACACTCAGCGCTGCGGCCGGGCTGGCCGGGCAGGGGGCGCACGGAGCGCCGCGAGTCAAGGTCCGGGCGGAGGGCGGAGTCAGGGCTCGGGGC